AGTTAAGGAGTTACAGTCCAATTTCCTCCCCCCTAGGCTCTGGTTTCTAGTAGAACAAAGTCACAACAGAGACATGAAAGGAAAACGTCAACAAACGTAAAGACTTGTGTACTCATTTGCTATGCCTTGTAGGAATCTGTTGGAACAATGCGAAATAAATTAGATGCCTTTTGGGGCAGCAGTTCTTACATAGTCAAAATATGTAACCTCGGGATGTTAACACCCTGCCTCAGATCCCCTTCAGAACATGGTTTGTTGCAAAATAGTCGTCCTTGTGTGGTTTGAAATGAACATTGTTTTTTTTTTTAAAAAAGTCAGTTTCTATTTCACCTTTGGTAATTTCGTAACGGTCCTGAGAGATGTGTTACAGTCTTCTATTTTCATAGTAAAATCCTTTCCTTTTCCTGCGTTGTGCTGTAAATGTTATTATTTTTCCCAGTTGGGTATGTCTCCCACTTATTCATTCATGGATGCAACCTCCCTACATCTATTCTGTTTCCAATTGCCCTAGTGGTTAAAATGCCGGCAACGAAGAAGATCCAATCTCTGTTGGTCATCAACTTCACCGGGTATCACACGGCTAGCCACTGGCTGATATCCTGTTGTTTAGCATAGTAAATTGCAAGTAGAGCAGGCTCCATTGAATCAGTGAGAATTTAGTGAGTTAACTCTTCTCAGTTCCACCGTCTCAGTGAGCCTTCTCTGACTAAGCAGTTGAATTTCAGCTCCTATCTTTCAACCTATCCTACCTCATGGGGGTGTGGTGTGACTACAAATGGGTGGAAGATCATGCCCTATGCTAACACAATATATAAATTCCTGGGAGAAACAGTAATCAAACATCCAGCCTCTTGCTTTGCAGCCAGATACCTAACTCACTGAGCTATCTGTGGATAATGACAATTGGAGACTAACACATCTGGAGTGTAAAGCATCTGGGGTCTTCCAGAAATCATAGGCAGAAACATGTTGTGGATTACACAGGTGTCAGGTGTAGCTGTGTAAACTGATAGCAAATTGCTGTTAATTAACAGGTTGCCACTGACATTTCCAGTCATGTGACTTGGGTGCATGGTTCTGGACGGAGAGTGGCGACTTGTTAAGCAGGAATTCACTGATGTGGTTCATGCCTCTTAGTTTGAAAAAGTATCTTTGCTTTTAGAGTAGAGTACACGCAAGTAATGACCCTACCCACAGGGATTACAGATGCAAATAGTCGAGAGAGGGATGAAAGAAGATTATGGGGAAACTGTGCCAGTGGGTGTGTGTGGCAGGATTGTGAGAGCTGGAATGTGTACTGATCACCCTGGGTAGAGTAGTTTAAGAGAACCTAGAACAGGCACTAGGAGACATAAAGATACAATCATGCTAGAAAAGGTTGCTTCCAGGGTGAGCAATTTTTAAAAAGACCCTTTAAAGTGACCCTTCTGTCCAGACATAATCATACTAGTGCACTTCAAAGCAGCCCAGCCCTTGGACCAAAAAGACCCAGGAGAAAGGTAGGACTACATAGTTCACCATCTGGAGTACACTGAATGAGCCTCAGCAAAGAAAGAAAGCCAGACCGTGGTGTCAGAACTACAAATGCAATCTAAATAATAATCTGATTGCACCCCTAATCATGCTGACCCAACAGAGCCCATCCAATTTGGCAGAATCCGCTTTCAGTGTTATTAAAAGATACCAAATTGCTGTTTATTTAATTTCTTCTATTGCCAGGGTTGAAGTGGACTTCTGAGATTTTCTACCTTCTGTGTCAAATAACTTGGCTGGCTTTGGGTACTATGAGATCGGGAAGCAATGCAATTTGCTGCTGTGCCTCAGCTTGTTGACACGAATATGTGGCGAGTCTTCTACATGTACTAGGTTGCTCACATAAGCTGCAGCTGCTATATGGAGTTCTCATCTAAGCAGATTTTTCCCCCTTAATGGTCTCCACTTGATGCCACGTTATAAGATCAAAATACGCAAGGCTACAGGAGTGGTGTGGTGGCACTGCGGGTTAAACCGCAGAAGCCTCCGTGCTGCAAGGTCAGAAGATCTGCAGTTGTAAGACCGAATCCACGCGACGGAGGGAGCTCCCGTCACTTGTCCCAGCTCCCGCCAACCTAGCGGTTTGAAAGCATGCAAAATGCAAAAATGCAAGTAGATAAATAGGTACCACCTCAGTGGGAAGGTAAACGGTGTTCCGTGTCTAGTCACGCTGGCCACGTGACCACGGAGGATTGTCTGCGGACAACCGCTGGCTCTATGAGTTGGAGACGGGGATGAGCAGCGCCCCCTAGAGTCGGAAATGACTGGCCAATTTGTCAAGGGGAACCTTTACCTTTACCTTATGGGAGTGGCAGAGCTTGGAAAAAGGTACTCTTCTGGATTCTGAGAGCTGCACACACACACACACAAAACCACAACGTTTTGAAATACTGGAACACACACACCCCTTTTAAAGGTGTACCCAAAGTAGTTTTTATGTGCAGCCAGTACAGCAGCATGAATGTAACAAAATGCAGTCAATACATCAGGAGAGTATCAACTCATTTCTATGCTAAGTGGCTGTTTCTTTTAGCAATGTTGGATGGAGAGCTAGTGTGTAGATGATGGAAATAGTAGGGAGGTGTTAAACCTTTCCTCTTTAAGCACCATTTTCATTTATTTGGTTGTCCTTGGGTGTATTACTGAAAGAGTGCCATTCCACTTCTCTCAGTGACTCTGAGCAATTATTTTCCTCCTTGCTTCCACGCACTGCCTTGTTTTCAACTTTGCACTCTTGACTCTGCTCAGAGGCAGCATAATAAATATAATAAATATACAAGTATAATAAATATAAAATATCCCGTGTGTCTCAGGTGATTTTGTTTCCATTAGTTTAAAAATGTGTCCTGGGCTGCCCTGTGGGGTGGGGGAAAAGAAGCCCTTTAAATTTAAACACAAGTTATCCTTACCGTGAATACGCTGTTCTATTATGGATGTCGCTTATGAGCATGCAGTGCGATTTAAGTATTTGGGGGGGGGCGCGAGAGAAAAGCACATTTCTCTCAGATCTAAACCCAACAGAAAAACAGATGCAATACTTACGCTTTCAAGGGCTTTTCGGTTAACATAGTTTTGATTTTGAAGTATGCAAAACCATTTAAGAAGAAATGAGGGTTGGGAAATGCAGGAGCAAAGAGAGATCTGGATCGTTTAGGAGAGATATGATATTAACCAGGGTGTGAGCACTGGTTTGAAATATAGGCAGTGCTGCTGAGCATGTGCAAAGTGTCCCCAGTTTATCTGTGGAGTAGTCAGAGACTGGGATCCCGGACGTAGGCAGAACGGTTCCTGGAGGTTGATTTTCTCCCTAACCTGCAGAAATTAAAGGCATAGGAGCGCAGCCAGAAAAAAAGCGTTGGCAACCTCCTTCATTCCTTAATTTGCATAGACATTCTTTTCCGACTCTCCGCTAAAAAGCGCTAAT